TGAACTAATGAAGTACAATGTGAGTAACGCAATCATAAGTGAAAGTGATTGTTGTATAGGCAATTTGAAAACACATACATACACATAAGAAACGTGTGTGCTTACTGCTGGAGCTTGATTGTAGGCCAGCAGAATAATTGGAGCAAAACAATATTGAAAAGTAATTCAATAAAGTTGTAAGGTAGCTGCTAGAAAATGCATACATATATGTACATAGGTATATGTATGTATAAAGTAATTTGAAGTATTTTTAGCGATTTGTATTACCTTCGCAAAACAACAATAGCAAATAAGTAACAAAAATATGTTGAGTAAGCGAAGCACGTAATTGGAATGCAATAAAGCGATTTCGATTTAAGCGTTTGCTTTCATTAGAATGTAGAATGCACTTAAGCGAAGTCTACTTAATTGCAAGTTGCAAGCATTTCACAACTCTCTTAGTGCGATAAGTGTTTAGTGTTAATTTTTGCTGCAATTTTGGTATGTATACAAAATAAATAAAAACATTGCCTTAGCTTGCATTTGATGCGTTGAATAATTGCTGTAAAATCTCAGCGGTTGGCAGCAATACGTGTAGGCTGATGTTGTTGTATTTGCATTTGCATTAGTCGTTGTTGTGATTGTGTGTTAATTAATTTTCTTGTTTATTAATTTCTTTAGAAATCGGTACATTTTCTCCTATGCATTCTTGCTTGTTGCTCATACGCCCCGCCGTTCGCTAAATGTTTGTGATACAAAAAAAAATATGCATTAGATTATGTAGATATTGATTTTTTTTTTGTTAATTTTGGTATCGTTCACCTTTGGCTTCATTTCACTTGGTAGGAAGAAATCTAAAAATTTAAGCAGTAACATGCTCCGGTCAAAATATTTTAATTTTAAAATTTTTATTAAATTTTTAATATTAAAGCAAAATGGAGAATTGTATTAAAAAGCCAACTTCTTTTAAAATTTTTGTATATATTTTTTAGTAAAAACAAATTTTTTAGTAAAAATTTAAATGTTTTATTTGTGATAAAATAAACAAATAAAAATAAAAAAAAAGTAAATAAAAGATTTGTTTTAATTTTTAAACAAGAACTACAAAAAAAAAACAATTATCTATCATGAAAAGTACGGAAAAGCATATTAAATATAACTCCTAACTTATCCACCAAATCAAAGTTAAGGAAACAATATCAAACAAATTTCTACATAAAATACTACACTCACGGCAAAAGGTATTGTCACAGAGAGTTTTTCACAATAGCATGAAAAAAATTTTATTTTTTTCTGAAAATATAAAATATAATCAGATTTTTTAAAAGTTTTTTGGGTATGCAGCTTTGTAAATTTTGGCATAACCAACTGCAAATTTAAAGTAGCTGGAACTTCCCGTTGACTCCAGGCAATCTTTTTTCTCGCACTCTCTTCTATACAAAAATTAAAAAATTGTAAATATTTTGAATGGAAGAAATGCGAAACAACTTCAATAAAATTGAGAATCATTTATAGGTAGGGAGAATCATTTATAGTACAAAATATGTTCCCACAAGTGCCGGGTCTACGTAACATTCCCGAGCCAAACCCTAACATTGTCACTGCAAAATTTTCACCAAATAATTTTTAGGGAATTATTATGCTGCTACAAAAACAACAACAACAAAACCTGCACTCAACCGATTGCCGTCGGGACCTGGAGAGTTATATGATTCAAAAGTCACTACTTATTACCTATGTATATGACCTTATCTTTTGAGAAAAGCTTATTGATATGAGGCTAGTCGTTCGCGAGTTGCATTTTGTCCGGTATGCTAATGGTGACATTTGGGCAATGTGTACCAACTCAACAACGCCCCAAAACACCGTGCGGAAAAAACCAAAACACACGAAAAGTCAACGAAACTGCCTAGTGACCTAGTGTAGTAAAAGTGCGTTTTAAGTTTTTCGCTCTGATGTCTGGATTTTTTAAAAAGACTTTGGGATTTCAAGGATATGTTTAATTAAAAAATTTAGCGTAATGTAGAATAACAATGTATGCATAGTTAGTACCAAGTGAAAAAAAGAATAAAAAAAAATAAAAAAAAAAAATAAAATTTTATTTGAATTGCAAGTACGAATATGGGTTGAAATTAGCCTTTTAAATTATTTTTATTTTTTTAATCTACTAAAGCTAAAGGAAATTCGAGGATGTAGTCTTTTGCGTGTAATAGTCTTCAACATATGATTTCAATAATAAATAATGCAAATTTTTAAGGAAGGAGAAATTTTAAAAGGACATTTTTCATACCTCTTCGTCCCTCCGCACAAAAATATTTTTTTTATACCCGCCACATGGGTATTATAACTTTGTGCACATAACGGTTGTTTGTAACAGGCAAAACGAATCGAAATAGATATAGACAAATGTATACATAAGTGATCAGGATGAAAAGAGAAATCGATTAAGCGGTGACTGTCTGTCGGTCCGTCCGTCCGTCCGTCCGTCTGTCAGTCCGCCTGTACACACGATAACTCGAGTAAAAATTAAGATATCTTAACGAAACTTGGTACGTGTACTTCTTTCGGGTGTAGGACGGATGGTATTGAAAATGGGCAAAATCGGACAATAACCACGCCTACCTCCCATATAACGGTAATTTTCAGAAATACAAAAACGGCGATATTTTAGTAACTACTAAAGATTATTCACTCAAAATTCATATTTACAATAAGTTTTAGACAAAAAATAGGAATATTATAAATTTTTGGAAAATGGGCGTAGCCACGCCCACTTATGGTTACATGTGTATATCTTGGTAACGGCTTCATCAATTTCTTCCAAATTCGGCACAGTTGTTGGCCTTGATATAACATACGAAATGGCCGAATATTTTGAAAATTGGAGAATAACCACGCCCACATCCCATATAACGGTAATTTAGAGAAATACGAAATCTTAGATAAATCAGTAAATATTAAAGCTAATTTATTCAAAATTGATTCTTGCAACAATTCTTTACCAAGAAATACGTTTAGGATAAAATTTTGAAAAATGGGCGTGGCACCGCCCACTTATGATCACATATATGTATCTCGGTAACCGTTCTACCAATTTGTACCAAACTCGGTGTGGTTATTGTGCTTGCCACATAGAAGAAAAACGTTGAAAATTATTGAAGTCGGACTAAAATTACCACCGCTTTTCATATAACGGTAAATTTCAGAAATACTTGAAACTTCAAAATTTCGAAATCTAAGGACGCTTATCATGTAGCGGTAGCTTTCGGAAAGGAGAAAAACATATATGTATTTAATACTTGCGCCGTGTATTTAATGTTCGGCTCCGCCCGAACTTAGACTTTCTTACTTGTTCATCAATAGAGATAGAATCAGAACTTTGAGTTTGAATAGAATCTTTCCATTACTGCATTGTTTTGTACGCGTTAGCTTCTTCTCTTAATCTGTTATGATTTGTTTTTATTTAATAACTTTTGAATAAGGAATAATGCTGTGAATGAAGTTATTTGTATCAGAGTTATTGATTGTGTAATTATTTTTATTTTCATTTTTTTGGGGTATAATAGGAAAGTCTTCATTATAATTATTTAAAAGTTCAAATCAATTTCCTAATATAGATGTTACTTTATTTTGAGCTTCTTTAAATGAAATATTTTCTACTGTCATAGTTCTTCGTATTATGAAAGCTTTTGTTCTTGCTGGGCATTGTTTATAAGTTGGGGGATGGTTGTCTTTACAATTAGTACAGATAATAGGCTGACAAAATTCATTAATATTATGAATTTGAAAACACTTTTTTTATATTGATTCTTTTTCCTTGCAATTTTGAGCTTAATGATTAAAACGAAAACACCGATAACATTGAGAAAATGAAATAAAATGTTTTACTTCAATTTTAGTATAACTACAATTTATAAATTTTGGTATTTCTAAACCTTTAAAAATAATTTTTATTCGTTTTGTTGGTATTTTCAAATCTTTGTTGTCTTTATCCCTTTAGAAATATTCTTATTAGTTTTAAAATTGGAATTGGAGAATGTATTTCATTATATAATTCATAAGTTGAAATTTCTGTTGGTATGTTAAAAATTATACCCATTTTAGAAATATTATAACTTAGAATTCTTGGACCATAACCTTCTTGAATAATTCTTTTATTTTTGCAAATTTCACTAGCGGTTTGAAAATTTTTACATATCATTTTAGTTCTGCCGTAATCTACCTTTAATACGTCCTCTGCATCGATATAATTTAATTTTAATAATAATTTTGTTACCGTAATAGGGTTAATGGGTTTTCTTCCTTCTAGATTAGGTTTGGTGTCAAGACATACAATAAAAGGTCCTTTGCAATCTTTGTCATAAAAATAATATTCCTTATTGGGTTCATTTGGAAAATCTTTAGTAGGTTCATTGATGATCTTGGTGGTTTGATTTTTTGGTGGATTGATAGATGTTATAATATAAGATTAATTTTTATTTGAATTATTTTCTAATATTGATTTTTGGTCGCTTCCCTTTCTCTGGAAATGGATTTTTGCGTTTGCTTCTGTTTGTTCCGCTCTATTACTGAGGAGCCAGATGGCTCCTCATCCTCAATATCCATAAATTAAAAAATTACTTAAAAAACGCGTAAAATATTAAAAATCGAATAAGAAAATATATATAATAAAACTATTCGATAAATAGCAGTTAGTTTTATATTAGTTTAAATCTATATATATGTAAGTAAATATATTTTATGTTATTTTTAATTTTTTATATTTTTGAGCTCAATATTTTTTTCGATACAACTGTTTACTTCGATTGAACAAAAATATTTAAGTTTGCAATTCTACAGAGTTACTAATTCATTTGGTGCTTATATTTGTAATTAATATTGTGCTGAATTTTTGAATTAATCATATTTTTGAAGTTTCAAATTTCATTAAAAAATACTGATGTCACTACCTATAAACCTAAATACGAAATTTTTTATTTTTTCATCTAATTTATTCCATTTTTCTCTTCTTCTTGTTACAGATTCCGCTCATTTAGCGTCTACACGCACTTACATTTTATAATTTCTTCACCAAAGTTATCGAGTTAATCTTCAATACCCTCAAAGAAAAAATAACATTCCAGCAACAACTTCAGTGTGTCTTAGTGCATTACTATAAGTGCTTGTGTTTGAGTGAAATAAGTGTTGTTAACGGTTAATTGCAATATTCAAAATATTAATGTCCAGCTGATTTTAACTACAACAACAGACCGACAAGGTGAGTTGCATTTCAATACTTTTCTCTGCTTTGTTTTTCTTTTTTTTTTGTTTAACCCATATTTGCACATACATAAATAAGTACTAGATATAGTTTATTTATTACACATTTCTTACTTTTTCTAAAAATACGAAACAAGTTGTACCGTTTTGTCTTTTTATACCTTTCTTGAACTTGAAATGGTATTATAACTTTGCAATGTGATGTTATTTCATGCCATGTCATGCCAAATGATGTCATATGAATTGATGTTCTTTCATATGATGTCATATCATTTGTATCGATAACAAAATCGAAAGTAGCCTCGATAAAAATATCGACACCAAAACTGATATCAATATCGATAACAAACTCAATTACAAATTAGATAAAGAAATATCGATAGCAAAATCGATAACAATCTCGATAACATAATTGATTAAGTCTAAAAAATATCCACAAGAAGATCGATAAAAACATCGATACGATTATAATATCGATAACAAAATCGCTTAAAATATAGATAACAAAATCGATTAAAGTATCGATAAAAAAATATATAGAAAAACTGACAACAAAATCAATAAAAAATATCGATAACAAAATCGATAAAATAAAGTACCGATTATTATATCGATTATTTCCGAGAATCTCGAAAATCTCCAAAATCCCGAAATAGTTCCCAGATTGCGTCTCTGTATCTCTATCTATGCATATCGCTTTCTATATAATTATCTTTATTTAATCTTTCTTCCTCTATCTTCATCTTTACTTTTATCGGTATCCTCATATGTTTTTATATTTATCTTTGTTTTTACCTTTATGTTTATAATTTTCTTCATCTACATATTCACATATTATTATTATTATTATTAGCACATTTTTGTTAAATTTGTACCACGTGCATACATTCAAGAAGCACTTGTTTCCGTCCCAACCATTTCTGTATGCAAATTCCGTTTTCAACTTCCGACGAATTTGCCAATTTACTCCCAAATAACCAAAGAAAATTCGCTGCACAAAAATGGACTTTCGGGCAGTGTAACCCATTTTCGGTCGAATCCGGAAGTCGGTTACACCACCAAATGATAGAACATCCCTGATTTTGTTGGTCATATTTTTTAGTTTTTCACAAAAATGGGTGGATAGAGGGGGCGGATGGGTGGTCTGGGACACCCCGTATAAGTTTTTGTTATTTAATCTATTTGCTCATCATAAGTTCACAGTGAAAATCTTCGTGACACATTTAGTATAATGTATAGCTCCCAAACAACTGATTAAACTATTATAAAGGTTAAAGTTAAGTTTTCTTTTATTCATGATAGGTATAAAGTTTTTCGTATAGCACTTTCCATACTTGGTTTGGTTCAAAAATGCCTTTTTAATTGCCTGCTGTGCTGTTATTGTTCAACAGGTGAAAGGCGCACTTCGCTTGGCGGGTGGTGGAATGATCCAATTGAATTTGAATGGCTTGAAAGTGAACTTTATTAGCAAACAAAGGCGGCATAATTAGCGAGATGCCAATGTGCTCGCATATGCTGCTTTATTTTGAAATGTGCATAAATATGTTTGCTGCGTTGTTGGTATACCAGGGCTGACACAGTGCAGCTTTACTGCACGGCACCACTACTTAACAGGCGACATCGCGTTTTAGAAATCATGAGAATGAAATTTAACTTACCTCCTCAAAAATGTGGTGTGGACATCGCAAATAATCATGCAAAGAATATTGCTCTGTCATTGTGGAGACCAAAGCGAGGAAATCGTCATTGCAAGTTATCGATTGCAAACAAATTTTTTTTTTTACAAAAGTCACTTATCGCGATATGCTTATCATAAATAAATATAGTAATGCGCAAATTTGTTATTTGCGAAGTTACTTGAAATCATTTGACAAAGAGAACTCGAACAAAAAAAAAGTCAAATGAGAAATGACAAAATCTCCAAAAACAGCGTTTAAAAATAATGCTAACCAAAAATGACGCATATCAATAACATGATATCATTGCCCGGGCTTATAGTACTTGAAGCGATTATTCTATCGCCTCAACAAACAAGTTTTTCTAAGCAAGTAAAATAAAACTTGAGAGCATAAGTATACGTGTTGACTGTATGCACATTAGGGTGTCCCAAAAAAGGTGAAAATTTACGCTCTCACCACCCAGGATTTTTCTAAATGGAAAAAAGAAACCTCTATTTTTTTGTTTGTTGTTTATGAAGTTTTCTATGTATTTTATGTGGGGAAAAAACTTTTTAGTAGTAGTGGTATAAAAATGTAGAAAGTTAATATTTTTCGATCAGATAACCCAATACCCAATTTTTTATTTTACCATTTTTTAATACTGACGAGTTTTTGTGGGTCTCCCTTTTGCATTTTTTTTTTGGGGTTTTGGGGTACCTATAAAAAATAGTTAAAACTAAAAGCTGGTGAAATAAACCATAGGGTATTATCATTCGAAGCTCTTAAAGAGAAACAGAGAGAACGAAAAATATTTATTTCCAAAAATTCCACACCATCTCTACGGAAAGTGTTTTTCCCCATACAAAGTATATAGAACAAGTAATTTTTAGCAACAAAAAACCGACTTCAACTCCCATATAAAAAAAAAATATATATATATATATATCTCATGATCCACTGATCGGATCTCAACCAGATTAGTATGGGACCACCTCTGAGACACTACCTTTCCGATGCAAAAAGAATTATCGGTTAATCGGTTGACTTGGTCCAAAGTTATGCGGTAGGTAACATACATAAAAAAAAATATTCCGACGAACTGATAACCTCCTCCTTTTTTGGAAGTCGGTTAAAAATTCATGGGCTTTGAGGTAGTTCTGAATATCTCTTTTTGTTACAAACATATACGGGCATTCCTTTTTTTCATTTACCCAGGGGTAAGAGTTTAACATCTTAAACTTTTTGTTCCCGCGTATATTCTTGGACCTCCCTAATGTACATACTGTGGTGAAAAATAAATACCGTCGCAAGATTTTAACAAATTTTGCCTATTTTCCTTTTCTTTATTAAAAAAAAAACATATGAATTCATATTTCAAACTTTGTACGAAAATTATAAACATTCTGCAAAATTGTATCTAAATAATGCAAAACTTGTTAAAATGTCGCATTGCTATCTATTTTTCCATCACTGTATGTGCATACATATTAATATGTATATCTTAAGCCTTGTAGCACTTATGAAGTCATTTTTAGTATATTTGCCGATTTTAACTAATAAGAAGCCCCGTTGTGTGTACGAAAGACATAGTTATTTATTGACATTAAATTGTAAAAAAATAACAACATTATATAATGCTTACAAATACTTATGCAAATGCACACACACGCATTAGCTTTTGATCGCGTAGCCTTGACGCTTTGAATGAAATTTTTTAGCCTCACCAATTATCTAAATATTCGAATTTTCATCGGCACATCGGCCGACATATTTATGTATGTACATAATTTACAAAACGTAGATTTCATTAACTCTAACTCTGCGCTTTGCTAGTTTATCTCGTACTAATTATTAATTAGCATATTAAAAATTCCTTAGTTTAGGCGAGAAGACTAAGCAGCTTGATTTTCGTACGACAGCCATTTTGGTTGCGTTGTTTTTATTATGCTGTCTTCTTCTAATAAAACCTCGAGATCTAATGATGTGAATGAGGTAATCAGATATTTATGAACTAAGCTTATTGCTAAGTAGTAGTCAGTCAGCGTTTAAATTAGTAAAGCATTTCAGATAGGTACTCCTCAGATAAGTCATTAGATCATCAAGCAACATCAGTGAGCAAAACCTGTCGTTGTTGGTCTCCTCTTTCGTAGATAATAGCTTACTTGACTCTTACTTTGGAGGTTTTAAATATAAAGTGAAAGACTTCCTGATATGAAAATATTATATAGCAGAGAGTACACTCAATTTACAAAAAATGCTCCTAGTTCACTTGTAGAAGCACTAACTACGCTTACATATCCAAGTGCGCTTATTGAAACCCATAATTTCTATTTCGTAGTTATAAATATTTATGAGTATAACAATAACTTGCGTTCTAAAAAATAAATAATAATAATTCTACGAGGACATTCGCAAACACAGACTTCAATTTCGAAGACTTTCGTCCGGAGTGTGGTTGGGTATGTTCCCATTTCAGACTTTTCTGCAAACTTGGTCCAATCACGCCATCCCCAGTACTCTCGTCGTCCATCTTCGATACGTCGGTATACTATACTTAGGGCCGTAGAATCCATAGTAGGGACGTTAAGACTCCCTACTACTTCCTATGAACTGGGAGGAGCTCTGTTGAATTGCATCAAATTTTTCATACGGAAAAAAATACTGACTTATTTCATTTGGTAACACTGGATAAAAAATTTGTGTTGTGTTTTTTATATGAACAAGTTTTCGAGATATCTCCAATTTACCGTTACTCAGCTAAAATAGTCGTTCCACTTAATCCCGTATATATCACGATTCGGCAAATGAAACCTAACAAAATTCTCCATTACAAAATAATTTGTTTTTTTTTAGTTGGAACTTTTTCATAAAAATAACAAAAAACAAAAAATTCCAACATAAAAAAAACATATGTACGTTGTATGTACATCACTTTTCTGAGAAATTAATTAATCATTCCAAGTTTTTTGTTTGTTTTTATGAAAAAGCAAAAAGTTCCAACTTAAAAAAAAAAAATTGTTTTTAAATTTTTCGGTTTTGTATGAACGCCTGTTCTTTAACAAAAAAAAAAAAAAACACAAATATAAGGTACCAATGAAGAGTATCGATGGATAAATTAAAATGAAATGAGTTAAGTATTTAATGAAAATGCGCAAAGATTTTTTGTAAGAAAATTGAGCAGGTTAGAATGTTACTCATACGCCACGTACACATGCCATATTTCGTTTTAAATTTTTGGTTCGTAAGATATACGCACGTGATTAAGTGGAACAACTTCTTTAGCTGAACAACGATAAATTGCAAAATTTCACAACCTTGTTCATAGAAACAAATTAACTCG